ATTAAAACAAGTGTTTTGGAGGAGGGGGTGGAGAGGGATCGAACCATTATCATACTAAAAAAGCTTACCACTAGCCGACAGTCCTTCTTCGAATGTTGGAGCGTTCTGCACCAAACTCAACAACCAATTTTTGCAGTTCGACCTATTTGTCTGATCAATGTGATATTGACCAGCCGACTACAAATTACGGATGGCCGGAGGCTTTAAAATAAAAGGAATAAAATGGTTAAAAAATAAAAAGAGATCAAAATAAAATATTCAGTTACTGTGATATTTGGATATCGACCATCTTAATGTTCAGAACTTATATCCAACGGTTATTATTATTTTTTTTTGTTTCTCATCCGGTATTCGAGACTTCACCCCGATTAATCCGGATCGACTCGCGTCGCGCACCTGAAGATGGTGAGTAAGCCTCCTAACGAAATCCAACGGTTATGATATATAAGTATATGGGTGTAAAAATAATTATTAATTATTATTTTTAATTAAATAAATTAAATATTTTAAATTTTAAATTATAATAATTATTAATCATTAACTATATATAAAAAAATTTTTAACCTATACCCTTAAGGTAAGATTAATGGATATATTAAATATATTTTTTGTTATAAATATATATAAAAAATTTAAAAATCAATATTAATTTTAATATCAAATAAATTTAATCAGATAATTGATAAATTATAAATTAATTTTTATTATTTTAATATAAATATATAATAAAAAATATATTTAATATATTTTTAATTAATACTTTTATGATACAGACAAGTCATATATAAAAATAATAATAATAATAATCCGAATAGCTCTTTAGTCTGTTTGATCTCACTGACGGCCCGTCATTGTTACGGTGGTAAGTGGTTGAACATGGAAAAGTTAGATGGTCAAGGCCGCCAATGTGGGAATATCAGCCCTTTGATCTTTCACGTTTCACATTTTCCTTAGGGTCAGGTCCCACCAAATTAAGGGTCAATACTAACTTTTACAACCCTTTAATCTCTACCACAATTAAAGAAAAAAAAAAGGTGAGGAAAATGGATTGGTTTGCATTAGATCAGTGAGACCTCTCTCCAAATTTCAACGCATGCGATTTCGATGGCCCTCCACAAGAAGTAAACAAACAAATCAAGGAGTGTATCTTGGAAAAATTGTACGAAGATTGAAAAACTATATACTTCTTCCATTTCAAAACATTAAGTGATGACCAAGTACCTTTGATAACTCAAGAATTGTAACTTTTTTTAGTAGGGTTGTTGCATTTATAAATTTAAAATTTAAATTTTCAAAATTTTAATCTTTATCTCTCAATTATGTTTGTTACAAAAAATAAATGATTTTTATTTTTATTTTGAGATTAAAAATTTAGTGATGATTTTAATTTTTATTTAATTTATTTTAAAATAAATAAAATAAAATAAAGAGATTTTTTAATAATAAGATGAATAATTAAAATTAAAAGATAATTATAAAAAATAACTATTATTTTGAAATAAATTTTAAATTAAAAAATATTATGACTATAAATATTATATAAAATTATAATTATAAAATATTATATATTTATAATACTATATAATATTATAGTTTTACCAATTGATTTTATATTTTACGATTTTTTTAACATGAACAATTATAGAAAAAAGAAAAAATTTTAAATAATTGATAAAAATTAAATTTTTAACGAATTAAATTTAAATATTAAAACTTGAAAGTAAATTATTAAATCCACAGGGCTGGTTCGATTTTATATTTTATCTTAGTGGGCCTAGAATGCCGACAAAAGGCGAGAACGTGCGAAACATTAACTAGCTAAAATAAAGCTTGAATGCTTTCATAAAAAATACAAAGAAAAAAATTATGTAAGCTTGAATACGATTAGCTTCAGATTTAAGTCGATTTTACATAATTCTACATAATTTATTATTTTATTATCTTTTTCTATTGAACTCAGAGAATTTTGAGGGCAGAAAAAATTTCTTCCAAGTGATGGATAAAAGTAAAACTCACAGTTTCATTTAAATTCAAACTCTTAAATTTAATCAGTGAATCAATTGCTCCGATGATTGTTGTTTATTTTCCATAAAACAACTTCAAAGAAACGGAAAAAGTTGTTGAAGGCTCGTACCAATCGTACGGTTTGGCGGATGGGAACTTTTTTTCGGCTTAATCCCCTGAGTCCCCTCCAACTTATTGTTGTTAGGACTATTCAACCCCCAACATAAAATATAAGAAAAGTAGCCCCTAGACTACACATGATAAAGGTAATTGACAAATGGACGGGAGCCGTCACTTTGCTTTCATTATTCCGTTAACCCACAACTCGCCAGTGCCTTGTCAGCGCAAAATTGCCATGTCAGCACCTTTTTTCGGGTATTGCTAGCATTTTAATTAATTTTATATAAATATTAAAAAAATAACAAATTAAAAATTAATAAGCTAATTACAAAAGTTTGAAAGTACAAAAAGTGCAACTAATAACCTTCTCTAATTTTTTTCTCTTTTTTAATATAATATAATCTCAATGGATTTTTTTTTATATATTAACTTTCCAGTATTTAAGAATCATATTAAATCTTAATTAATTCAAAATCGAATTGCGTCAAATCATATTAAAGAGGAAATTCTTCTAACATCTGTTTTTCCATTTACAAAATTTGAACTCAAAATTTTTATTGAATTCATTCCACATGAATCAACAAGTCTTTGGTAATATAATTCAATAGATGCCATTATAAAGTCAAGTAAAAAAAAAAAAAAAAAGAAGATGCCGTTAGAAATTGGGATGAACGAGGAGAACACATGGTTATCAATTCTAAACCATAAATTGCAAGTTAGAGAAAAAAGAAATGAAATTCAAGGCTAGAATTGGACCAAATAGAAAATTTTATCATTTAAATCAAAATTTATTGCATGTCAAATATGATTTCTATGTCTTAAAAAAAAAAATTAAACTCAAAAGAATACCAAAAATAAAATAGCAATTTTATTCCTTTCAAATTTCTTATACAAATTCCTTTGCTCTTCTTTCTTTATTACCAAATTTAAAACTTTCTTTGATTCCTAGTTCTGTTATTCAATGGCCTTGAGCTCTTGGTGTGGGCCAAGATCTGCTGCCATTGAAGGAACATAAGGGAAGGGGAGAGAAATAGAGAAGAGGAAAGAGAGAAGGTGGAGGTTTGCGAAAGGTGGAAGGCAAGAGCAAAGGGAGGAAGGCGGATGAAGAGGACAAGAGAAAGGAGAGCAAGAAGAGGAAGATGAAGATATTTTTTTGTTCTTTCTTCTTCTTTTCTTTTTTATTTTGAAAAATCTCAATTTCACACTTCAAATAAAAGTAGAGACAGATTTATTTTTTAAAAAAAATTTAATATCATTATTAAATTACATATTTTTTTACTACTTTATATAAAAAAATTTATTTTTATTTTTAATATTAATATTACATGCATGATTTTAATTTGAGGATTTAGTGAAAAAATAATAATAATAATAATAAAAAAGATAACACAACAGTCCCCCCGCATTCTGCTGCTACTCCTCCACTGCAACCGATCCTCCCCTTTCCTCTGTGTCCTAGCTTAGCCATGTCCACGCTTTCAGCACCTCGCCGGAGACAAGAGTTCCAATCCGGAGGTAAAATGGTACGGACCATACGAACCAGGGTCACCAGAACACCATATGACCGACCAAGATTAGCCAGTTCGGGTGACCAAAACCCTAATTGGATCTCCAGAATCATTTACTCTCCTACTCGCATGATCGCCACTGGCGCTGGAAAGCTCCTCTCCTCTGTCTTTGGTTCAGATTCTTCGGAGTCTTCTTCCAGTGCCCCTTCAGGTGCTGCATATCATCTTCAAGTCCCAATTCATATGACTGTGCTGTAATTCTATATTTATTTGCATATGCATCTTTTCACCCGAGTTTTAGTTATAGGAAATGGGGTTTTACATGTAGATAAAAACTTACCATGTTTTGGAAGGGAAGGTATAGAGACAAGTAATGCTGAATTGTTCTAACACCGAGTTATTAGTTGTTGTTTTTTTATATTAGTATTACTACCATTATTTACTATATTGGGTTTCAGAATCACATTAGTTGTACAGTGCTTCAATCACTTCAATGTTTAAATTTCTACTTTTGGATGACAGGATGTGGGTGGTGCCTTTTATGTTCATTGTGTTTTTTGATCTTCAGGAACAAATTAATCAGTTCATGTATTATGTGGAGTAACAGTAATTGGGTAGTTGTGGCGGGCCGGGGGAGCTTATATGAAAGCTAGCTAGTATTCGGATCTTTGTCTATATTTCTTTTAATGGTTGTTTTTGTTGCAGATGATAGTGATAACAACGGGAATGATATTTATGAGTCTTCTCCCGGGGCTGAACATATTAAAAAGGTATTATGTCTTTATGCCATGTAAGGGTTTTGGTTCTGATATTAATATGTTTTCTTTGATTTAATTCTCATACTGCTATCTGGATATTTTCTACACTAGTGATGAGTGATGACCATAAATGTTGTTAGAGGGATATTTTACTTACATCAGTTTTTGTTTGCCAGGGGGAGTCCCAAATGGCCCAAACTATTGCACAAATGAGTGAGAGCAAGCGTCTAATTGAGCAGCTTCTCATGCGAGAGACCTTCTCAAGGTAATGGGGAACTCTGAATTTACTTTCTTTGTTTTGATTCTTTTCTTGGTTGTTGATATCTCTAACTTCTAACTTTTCACCTTTTTCAAGTTTTCCTTGGTTGCTTATCTTTATCTGTTAGGAGGCTTTTCTTCCTTAATTCTCTATTGATTGTCATCCTGCTCAATTTTTTGTTAGTAGTTATCACATTTTCTTGTTCTGGTACTGCACTGAGTCATTCTTGCATCTGGATATTTTCCTTTTTTCCTTTATTTTTTAGGTAACCATCTCTGGACATATTTTGGTTGGTTAACTTTTTGTAGATTTTGCCACATTAATGTCTCTTGTTTAATGTAACTTGGCTTCCAATGTTGAATGGCTGCTCTGCTTGACCAGGGAAGAATGTGACAGACTGACAAATATTATCAAGTCAAGAATTGTCAATTCTTCTATGATTGGAGTTATGGATGTTGGGAGACTAAATGAGACTCCTAGCAGAACTACTGACAATGGTAGTGCTTTTTTTTTTTTCCCTGAAGCTTCACAAACATGGAATTATAAATGCAAGTCTAAAATGATGGAACTCATCAAATCTTCTTATTTGACCGACTTTTTTTATTAAATTTCAGTTGTGGACACAGCTGTAATGGAGGCTAAAAAATGGTTTGAGGAGAAGAAGTCAGGATCAAGTTCTAAGTCAGATTTGTGCCACAAAACCTCAGTCCTGAACCATGCAATATTGCCTCTTGTTAGTAACTTTTTCATGTGAATTCCTAATTCTTCCCTTTGAATTCTTATTAGTGATAGATGGATACATAAAGTTTGTGCTTTGCAACATAATTTTTTCCATACTGATGCAATCATGCATGCATCATTATTGGTTGATAGAGAACTTCAGATGATGATTATTTTTATTCTAGAAGTATGTGATGGTATCAATCATTTCATCTCAATTATGTTGATCTTGCAGGGATCTGAAGGTGAAGTAGGTTCACCTGTTGATATGGCCAAATCGTACATGCAAACCCGCTCTTCATGGGCATCACCGTCTGTGAACCACATTGAAAACAGGTCTCCATCACCAATAGAGATACACATTTTCAAGGAAGGAACACCACATTCAATTGCAGAAAATTCTCTATCATCATCCAAGGTGCCATTATAAGCATGAGCATTGGATAAATACATAGCTAGGTTAACATGATCATTTCTCGTCAAGAGAACATAGTACATGTACTAGTTGTTTTGCACCATCATGAGAGGACTTATGTTTGTATTTTCATATTGAAGGTCATCTAATATGATCAGGACTAGAAATAATTTTCATTGTACTAAAAGGATTTGTGGATAACTTATTATGAATGAGCAGATCAGCTTCCCAGTCATGTGAAGAAATAGCTATGTTCTTTCCTCTTGTTTTTTTCATTCTTGTCCTGATTTATTGCTTTTGTGGTACATTGAACGCAGCTGAAATGGGATTCCCCAACCACAAGTTCATGGAATATCCAGGAGGAACTACGGAAAGTGAGATCTAAGGCAACTGAAGACATGCTAAGGGCCAGACCATCCTCAAAAATTGATTGGTCTCCATTTACATTAGAACATAAAAATAGTCATGCCCTTATATTTGCTGATAGATTAGGGAGTGCTCAGGGACATGAACTTCCCATCTCTACTAAATCAGAAGATGCATCTTTGAACTTGGCTGCTGGACCAGGTGTATTTCTTATTTTGTTCAGATGAAACTTCATTTCTTGTGGTTATATACTAGCATCTAATTATCCCCTGCCTCAATCATAAACTTTTACCAATTTAAAGAAACTCTGTAGATACAAGGTGTGAAACCTCTCTCTCTGTTGTTTCAGTTTCAGAGATGACACAGGAGTTGCTGCTAAGTGATGCATTACCAAATCATACTACGCTTATTTGTGAACAAAATGAGGTACCTTAGTTTAGTATTTTATTAGTTGCCTGTACATAAAACTTAGAAAGTATGCTAAGCTGGTAGCTGATTGCTAAAATCTATGTTCATTATGAAAATGGTATAAACCTTAAGTTATGAGATCTTCTATATTTAAAGGAATTGATCATGATGCTCTTCTTTCTGTTATTTTGAAGGGCACGGAAGCATTCCATGGCATTAAGAGAACAGGAGGTACTCAAGCTTATTACTCTCTTATTTTACCATCACTTTCCCATTATATACTGCATTTGAGGTTATTAGTTAATTTACTTGGGGAAAGAAATGAAATTGAATCAGCATAATAACATAATAAGCCATCATCATTTAATTAAGTTTTAATTTCAAGCATCAATTGCTTATGGTTTATGGGTACTTTTAATATCATGGACTGAGGGAGACAGTAGGAGTCTGCATAGTATGAGTGGTAGAAATTTCAAAATTGTAAAAGTGAATCTTTGTCCTTTAATAGGAATCATCTAAGTTAGTTTTGTGGAATGGCTCAGGTGAGATGTTAGATGTGGGACAAAGGCTTAAGTCTCCAGAAGATATCAAGACTGGAACACACAGGTTAGTATGCCTACTGTTCAATTTTCAGCCTCAGTCAGTAGCATTATCCAGATTGTTATGCCTTGCTTGTCACAAACAATTTCCATTTCATTCCTAACTCTATATCGTGTAGTGATGTTGGTGCTGCTAGTGTTGATCAACTGGAGACAATTGAGACTGGCCAGCAGTTACACTCTACAATTAGCAAAACAATACTGGGTTAGAAGTCATTTAATTTCTTTTGGCCATTTAAGTCATTTAATTTGATGGTCCCTTTTCTTCTTTTTTTTTTTTTTTTATTTCCCTGTTTCTTGAGGGTCTTAAGTCTCGGGGCAGTGATAATCTTCATTGTGATTGTGTGTGCATGCCAATATCCATTTCAAAACTTGCAAGTGAATGTAAGTTGTTTTCTTCAAATGAATATTACCATTCAGCTCATCTTGCCCTTAAATCATTGCAGATTCAAGAACACCTGATAAAAATTGCGCAACATCTGAACCAGCACTTGAAATAGGTGGTGGTGGATTTACTGCAAATGGTTCCCATTCTTCAGGATTCAGGTAAAACAATTATTTGCCTTCATCACATCATATTTGCATTTCTGTATTATTTTCTATCAAAATGGTTTTTCATCTCAGTTTGTCTGCTGTGCTGGATAGAGAACAAGACTACAGACCAAGAGATGAGGAAGCCAACATAGGTGGATCAGATCTTGACAAAAAAGTGAGTGCACCCGTGGAGGAGACATGTGAGCTTCTGAGTGAGGCTTCTGTTGAGGTACCAAATGTAAATGAAAATGGTAGCATTGCCACAGGTTCCCCGAACAGTTCTGGCATGCATTATGAAGATTCATCACAGAACCTGAATCGAACAAATTCAAAACGTCGCAAGAAAAACAATGGTGTTGAGACAGTACTAGGGATGAAGCTAAGCAAATCCAGCAAGAGAGGTAGGGGTAGGGGACGGGGTAGATGATCCACGTTGACTCACTTTCCTGTATCATATCATAAATTAGGCAGAGTGATGACATTTGTAAGATAACCCTGGAGTTGAAGAGTTTTGGTGTATGTTAAATTAACCCGGTTTTTACGTATTTCATCCCCAGTTTAGGAATTGAATCTTGCAATCAACCTCTGTTCCATTTTCTTTTCCCCCCTTTTTTTTTTTCCTTGTATCTACCTCCGTATTAATTTGATGAATTTCGTTTAATAAAAATGTGTTTTGTATTTTCGAACTACATTGAAAAACAAAATATGTTTTATTTTATTTTAATTGTATAATGAAAAATAATTGTTTTTCATTTCTTCTTTTACCTTATTTATATGTTATGTTATTCAAATTTAAAATTTTTAGTTATTAATAATAAAAGATTATTGTTGAGTTATTTAGATCATTGATAAAAAATAAAATATTAACAATTAGATGATGAGTGTTTTTTGTGACAATAGGTGCTGATTGTTTTACTGTTATGCAATTTACATGGTAAAATATTTAACTTATTTTACATAAATGTATTGGGTTTGAAAAGACCATTTACACCCAAAATGAATCAACACAACTAGCTGATTCAACGAGGGTGTAAATGTCTTTATGCAAAAGTCCGGATTGGTGAGAATGCTATTGGGCCGGAACCCGAACCGAGTGGACCTCCATTTTCGGTGGATGTCCCCCCTCTTCTACTTCTGGACAAAACCCTTGCCTGCTCGCCTGCAACTCATTAACTCCACTTCACTTGGTGAATTGCAACAATGGATTCCGCCATAGCGCAGAAAACATGGGAATTGGAGAACAATATTCTTACCGTAGAAACCCCAGACCCGTCGTCGGACTCCATATTCTATTACGAGGAGGTGGCGCAGACCAAGTTCCAGCAGGAGAAGCCGTGGGCTAACGATCCCCACTACTTCAAGCGCGTCAAGATATCAGCGCTCGCGCTCTTGAAGATGGTTGTCCACGCCCGATCTGGTGGTACCATCGAGGTCATGGGGCTGATGCAGGGCAAGACTGATGGCGATGCCATCATCGTTATGGACGCCTTCGCATTGCCCGTTGAAGGGACTGAGACTAGGGTTAATGCGCAGGCTGATGCTTATGAGTATATGGTGGATTATTCCCAGACTAACAAGCAGGTAATTGATGGAAAAATCCCAGAAGAATTAAATTCTGTTTTTGAGTTAATGTTGATGACAGCGTAGTTTAGTTCAGGTTTTTGAGGGAGATTTATTGAAAGTTAACAGAAATTGAAACCCCAAAAATCTGATTGATTGTTTTTAGAAACAAGGGTGTTTGTTTTTTAGTAATTTGAAATTGTTGTTGGTTGACAATTATAGAATATTAGATGAAAATGCGTATTTTGTTTTAATGTTTATCTGAATAGTTGAGAACCTTCATAAATTTGACAACTTTAATCCTACTTGTGCTGTGTGATTTTGTTTGTTTAGCAAAAGTTTCAAGAGTTTATATAAGCTTTGTGTTTCAGTTCCCTTATGTTGAAAGATGTGTCATTCGGTATCAACATTGAAAATAATTGTGTTTACTTTAATAGTTCTCTTTGTGTCAAGAAGATTTCTTGACAAACTTGATATGGTATATAGGCTGGACGTTTGGAGAATGTTGTTGGGTGGTACCACTCTCATCCCGGCTATGGGTGCTGGCTTTCTGGTATAGATGTTTCAACCCAAATGCTTAACCAACAGTTTCAGGAGCCCTTCCTAGCTGTTGTTATTGATCCTACAAGGACTGTTTCTGCTGGGAAAGTAGAGATCGGAGCCTTCAGGACTTACCCAGAGGGGTATAAGCCTCCAGATGATCCAATCTCTGAGTATCAGACTATTCCTCTCAACAAGATTGAAGACTTTGGTGTGCACTGCAAACAGGTTATTATGCTGTTGAAATCTCCCTTGTAGATCCTATTGGTTTAATTGAACTTTTGACCTAATTTCTTGTTTTATGTGTTTGGCAGTATTATGCATTGGACATCACTTACTTTAAGTCTTCTCTTGATTCCCACCTTTTGGATCTGTTATGGAACAAGTATTGGGTAAATACACTTTCCTCTTCACCACTCTTGGGCAATGGAGATTATGTTGCTGGACAAATATCAGATTTAGGTAATCTCTTTTGATGCTAGCTTATCTTCTAGTTTATTTTTTTCTTGTTGCTTGGCATGCCTGCCACGTTTTTGGTTGTTGTAGTTGCTAAGGAGTTGTATCAAAAAACTAGCGTATTTAATGGGATCTTATGGTTTTCTTTACATCTTGCAGCTGAAAAGTTGGAGCAAGCAGAGAATCAGTTGGCCCACTCTCGCATTGGTCCATTGGTTGGACCTTCTCGGAAGAAGGAGGTTAGTATGATTTCTCTTAGTTGTATTGTTATCTGAAGCTGTTAAAAGGTACTGTATTGTTTTCCATCAAAGTTTTTCTTTGATGACAAATATCCTTGTCAATTTTTCAGTAGTGTGCCAGTCTTAGTGTTAAGTTCCTAAATTATGTGTTATGGGCACTATGAAAATTGAAATATTTTATCAAAGAAAACCTATGACAGTGGAGGAATCTAATGCAGGAGACATGAAATAGCTCTACTGCTTTATTGATTCAAGAATTTTATTCTTCTCTATCCTTCAGTCCTTGTTTGGTTTCTTGGTTGCTGACTGAATGGATGAATACTAGGTCAATGTGTAAAATAGAGGAGCCTTGCCAAATGTATTCAACTCTATCTTTAAAAGAACTCAATTAGCGATCTTCCCTTCAATGCCTCTCTCACTTTGATGTGTGAACTAACTTTTGATTTGCAGGAAGAATCACAACTTGCTAAAATTACTCGAGATAGTGCAAAAATAACTGTGGAGCAGGTACATGGTTTAATGTCACAGGTAATAGGCTGTCCCCATTGAAATAGTCTCCTAATTTTAATTGGTATGCATGCATAAATATATTTCACATTCACTTTAAAGTTTAATCATTTATACCGACTTTTCCCCCACTCTTTTATTGCTCAGGTTATCAAGGACTTCCTTTTCAACTCCGTTCAACAGTCAAACAGGTCTCGTACTGAGCAATCTGGCCCTGAGCCCATGGTTGAAGCCTGACCTACCATCCTAGCAAAGTAATGCAGCAACAAGCAAAAGCTTTACCTTCTTGATGTTTCCCTTTTCATGCAGAGACTAACTTTTATTAGAGAACATAATCAAGGACTACAGAAGTTTTGCTCATCTTTTTACACCAATGTAAAGCCTCTGGCTTTGGGCAATCTAATCATTTTTTTTGGAAACATCATATTCAGGCTCTGCATGCTCAAACTTAAAGCCCATTCTAGGAGGGAATCAGATTACGTGGTTCATATTTGTTCAATTTGTCACTTTTTTATTGAATGAGTTGACAGCAAGTGAGTCAATCATTGCAGCACGAGATTGTAAGATAAAATGAATAGTGGTTTAACATTCACCATAGACATGATCCTGCTTACTACTACATTGATCTCGGCATAGTGTTGGTAACCCCAATTTTCTTTCTTCTTTGGTAATGAGGTGATGAAAGCAAACTCAGTGTCGATGTTCTTTTGTAAGTGCTGAGATGACAGGATAAGGAGAAGGAAAGGAACGTTTCGTACAGGGAGGGAAATCAGCATCAATACTCGAGTGCAGTACTAAAAATGAAGAAGAATCATAACATGGCACCATGTTTTGTTGATATTAATGAAAAGAGTTTTGATTCTCTTTAAATAAAGTTTTAAGTTTTAAATTTGAGTTTTTGTTAATAGAGAGATAAGTATTGAGTAAATTTCTCACCTTATAAAATTTAATTTGATTTAATTTTAAATTAATTAAGATATAATATAATTTTTAAATAACAGGGATTTAGTACAAAATAAAAAAACATAACATGGTCTCTATTCTCTAAAGAAAAGAAGTGCGAGCATCTTTGGTTTTCACATACAAGCCTCCTCACGAATATATCCTGCTAATAAATGGGAAAGGCAAACAGAAAAAAAAAATACTCATATATTTCATGACTGTCTTTCTAAATTGGATTAGATTCCAACAAGATAACAAAAGATATGTTGTCTCACAGGGAAATGAATCCTGCCCTCTTTTACGATGTACCTTTGAAGCACTACTTGTGACAATTTCACATGCCACTAACTCTCCGCCACACTCTCCCAACTCTCTCTTCCCTTCTCCTGTGATGCCCATTTTTTGTGGATAACTGGAAAGCAAAGATGGACATGTGAGAGCATAATCATACCTCTCGTTTAACCCCCTTCAACAATTCAACAATTTTTTATGCTGTCACATAAATTCTATCAAAAATAGATAATTCATATTAAAATTTAAAAATTTAGGAGGGATTAACTTTTCATAACTCTATAAAGGGTTTGAGTCTTGATCAACAAAGTAGAGATTGAAAAAATCCACTCATAACCAAGCTAGTACAACTTGGAGAATTCCAGAGATAAACAATTAAACAAAAGAAAAATTGATGGTTCACAATTCACATCCCTCACTTATTTGGATACGTTTTTATTAGGTGTATCCCTATCCAAAGGCCACCAGGTCTTCCATGGTCCCAAATACCTGCCTTGAGCTCAAGAATAGCAATTCCTGTGAACATTAGTGGTGCTTAGAGTTTTACTTGTATTTTTCTTCGTCTTGTACTGTTGTGCTGGCTTTGAGAAGGGATTGGAATCATAAAAAAATATGCTTTTAACTCTTTATGTAAGTGGGGGGAATGAGCTGCCTTTCCATTACCACTTTCACTGTTAATCCTCAGCACCTGTTTCCCAAGAATCTTGCTAGTGGGAGGTATAGATACATGAAAAGCATCGAAGCCAATAAATCTGGAGGGTAATGGGTACAGCCATTACATATTCCTTTGGCATATATCTGTTTTCATATCCCCTCTACTTTACATTTTTTCTTGGTTCTGAAAAGTGAAAAAGGGTATTTTGGAATAGAACAAATATGTTGGACCATTTCTTCATGCTTATTGAAAATACTCTCCGTTTAGTGGGGTTGCGAATGAGTGGGAATAATGCGCCTAACACCACTTGTTGAACCCAACCTCCCACCCCCTCTAATATATCCTCATCATCCTACTTTGCCACATACCCTTTCCCACCACACACCTGTCTCTTTTGAAATTTCATTCCATTCTCAAGAAATTTGTAATCAATTTGCTGTCTCCCCTTCTTTAAAGGAGGTTGGAAACTTTCCAAGACTGATTTTGCAGATTAACTGCAATGACACTTATTTCAAATGAGGAAAATACAGTTGCGGGAAAAAATTGGTTTTTACCTATTGAAAAGTATTGTGCAACATCTCTTAATAGTACAACCATAACTATCAATGGCAGAGCCCTTGG